TTGTTTCCTTTATTCATTTCCATTTCGCTGAATTCGGCTAGTACTTTTTATTCAAAGAGATATATTTCATGTTAGATTAAAGGCAAAACAATAAAGTCTTTTACTTACAATCCTCATCAAATTCTATTTCCATTTGGTCTATAGTTGAACTTAATTTCAATAAATTATCTTGAAATTCATCTAATGCACTTGATGACCTGGAAAGGAAAATTGTTTTAAATAAAATATTTCCTTGTTTTTCTCTCAAATTTACTTCATTGACACAGCGTTCAATGCTTTGACCTCATCATGAGCATAGTCATATGTTGATGCGCCTTCAAATTCGCGCCATTTATTTGAAATAGATATATCTTTTGCAATCATTTCTAAAACACAAAAAAGAAATATTATCAAATAATAAAAACATCGTAAAATACGTAAATATTATATCATTCTTACTGAATACTTTAGCTTCATAATCTGCTGATGGATTAGAAACTGTTCGTTTTATAAAGAAGACGAGCATACGAATTAAATAATAAATATTCCACATAAAACTTATTGGTGGTATAAATGGTGAGCGTGTAAAATATTCACGTATTAATAAATATCGTTGTGAATGCCAAATTTGACGTGTCTCTTCATAAGTTTGATTAAATCGTTTACTTTTAAAAAAAGAATAATAATATCAAAATAGGATTTCAAAAATTAAACTAATTAAAAAGATCATTTTACCTAAACATTGCAATAAGTAGATTTATAAGTAAAATATTAAGAAATAACATATGAATAGCAAGTAAGATATGATTTGTAATTGACCATCCAGCATTTGAATTATCTTTTCAATAGTGAAAAACAATCTATACAATATAATAATCATCTTAAATATGCATACTATCAAGATCGTCTAATTGGGTGTGAAATTCTCCGTATAATAAATAATAAACAGGATATATAATTTGACGAAAAACACTTCGACCATCAAAACTAGCATCTATAGGACCACCTGTTTCTCTGGTAAAATTGTTCACTTTTGGATAATAGACCATTGAGCGCGATGCAACACCATATGCAATGATAACTATTCCAATGATGCACATGAAAAATAAAAGATCATAAATCTACAGAAATAAAAAAAACAAAAATAAAATAAAACAAAATATATAAACACATTTATTGAATACCATTTTCCCAATAGCTACAAGATGTGGTCCAAGATATGGTATAACAATAATAAATGTCATACAACGAAGCCACCATATTTCTATATCAAATGCCATGATTACTCTGAATAAAAATAGAATTTCATGAATGTATGCAAATCTTTTATTAAAATGAAAATATTTAACTAGATTTAATTTAGTTTAACATTGTTAAATAAAATTATTTTATAACAAGATTCTGTTAAAGTCTTTCGGTGAGGCAAAAAAAGACTCAATTTTCATTAAAAAAAATGAATATTGAAATAAATGCATGAGAAGATAGATTGAAGTTTGATCTTTAATGAATGACATAATTTTTTACTTGACATTTCAGATTTTTTCTCAAAATATCAAAATGTATGACGCGAAAGATTCTGTGTTTATGAATGAGCTGTGTTGCTATCACATAAAAGAGTATTTTTACAATTGGACGCCCTTGTTTGAGAACCTATCGAGATATTGAACTTGTGTCCGCTGAAAAAGTAAGACTCAAAAAAAAAGCTCTATCATGTTCTGGTTTGAAGGGAGATAGGGCTAAACTCTAATAATTTTTTGTTTCGTTGACTTTGATCATTGAAACTAAAGTTAGGCAATAGATAATAATTGTATCAACAAACCTTGCTACAACAAATTTTTCTTCGGTATCTGCATATCTAAATCGTAGAATTAGTCCAAGATAGAAAAGAATAAATGCAAGAGTAGTCATTGATTTAAAAAAATCACCAAAAAAATGTTTTAATTGTCCAAGAAAGGTTAAATTATCTTGAGTGAAAAACTAAAATAAAAGAACAATATATATATATATATATATATAATCAATAGAGAATCGTTGTATTTTAATCAATAAGACATACATAATGAATTTCTTCTAGTAACATAAATGAAACAAAAATTATTGTTAAGATTTCAGTCCAATGTATTGATGGATTTGTATTTGTTGGTGGTGAAAAATTAAAGAGAAGAACATAGGAGAAGAGTAAAAGAAAAAATATATAAAATACCTAAAATTAAATGATTAGTATTCTTTCATATATTTTATCATTATCTATATACATACAACATGATAGCAATATTTCGTCAATACAGATAAATGAAAATTTTTTAATCGATGTATATGTCGACTTAAGTTAGGCATCGTTTTAATACAACGAGGATATTCAAGTGAATATGGATCAGAATAATTTATACCATGTGGTTCCAAACTAAATAAAAAATTATAGCAATGTTTATTATTAAGCATTTTTATATATTATATACATACGTTGGTTTAAGAGATTCACCAACTTCTTTCTCCTAGTAAAAACAAAGAAGTTGCTTCAAACTTTAAGTGATTTATCAAATGAAAATGTTGTTAAAGAAAACTATGCAATAAATGAAAATGTAGGGTCTTACAGAAAAAAACAGAAATCGAAATATTGGGATGATAGAGATCACATATGATAGTGTTGAAGACACAGAAAATGCTAGAACAATTTATTACAGATAGAAAAAATCAATCGCCAATGACGTTAGCATTGAACAAGTATGTATTTGCAATATTATGCACAGAGTGAAAGAAATTACTGAAGCTAAGCACAATGACTATAAGGATGTTTGAATATGGATGCGAATGAAGTGAACACCTATTCGAACCTACATCTACAAATTCACATATTTTATGAGTATTTCATCTATTTTACGAACCACTTAAATCATCGTTAATAATATCTACTATTTATTTAAACAGAAATTTTACTAACCATTTCAATTTCCCGATATTGAACAAGATAAGAAGCGAAAAGACCAAGCGAAATAAAACCAATAAACAAAGATCCTCGATTCTTTGTACTTGTTTGTTCTGGATAAAGTTTATCATACAAAACATTTCTCATAGCTTCTACACAAGATGGTGTTGAAATAAATAATTTATCGTTCGCATCCGAAGCAACCTTTAATAATATATTAAATTTTATTATTTTTTCTCCGAAGTTAGAAGAAATTATTGAACATACTTGAAGACAAGTAACATATCCATAAAGTTCATTTCGTTGTAAAACAATATTACAAGTTCGATTTCTATCATGATTATCACATTTATCTAGACAATTGATTGCATATTTTTCAAAATATTTAATATTTTTCTCATAGTTGTCTTTCAATTCACCATAAATTGCTACTGAATGATATTTTTTTAAAATTTTTGTTGCAATCAATGCTGAACATATTCGATATTTCAAAAAAGATAAAAAGACTTTAGCCATATCAATATAATTCATTAATATAGCCCATAAAAATAAATCACGTATTATATATTTATGTGTATATCGTTTTATTTCTTCATATGATTGATATCTTTTATCAATATCGTCATAATTATACGATTGTGATTGTACAGAACTTTTTATTAATCCCCATTTTATTCGATCTCTAGTTTCTTCTTCTTCTGTTTCAAAGTAAAGTTCATGCATATAATCACCAATAAGATTTCTTAGAACACTATTAAGTGATTTAAGAGTATCAATTTTTTTGGTCTTAGTTTCTTTATCACTATTGATAAAATATTTTATATGAGTTTGATCTCTATTCTAGAAATAACAAAACATAGTATCTGTAAAAAAAAAACATAATTATTTTTTCTAAATAAATTTCATACCACTGCACCATCGTGATAAAGATTTTCAAAAAACTTCTTATATCGAGATTGTTTTGAAGAAATTTTTATTGGTGGAAAGAATATTTCAGCCGGATCCATTCCTAATCTCAGAAATTCATAGATAAATGTCGGTAAATTTTTATCTAAAGCCTTTATAAATGCTTCTTCTTGATTCTAAAAAAGAGAACTAATAATATTAAAAAGAAAAATGAGATAAATGTGAATACCGGTATATTTGTTAGTGAATTTTTCAGAACAAATTCTTTTGCTACATGAATACAATCCCAATCCATTGCTAATTCAAGAAATGATGCTGGTTCTACAATTATAAAGTTCTTTTTTTTTGTTTGAATTAAATGTAGCATTATTTTATTTACTGTTTTGTTTTTCTCCGTTGTCTCTTGATATTTCTAATGCTAAAATAAATTCTTAGAAAAGAACTGAAATCTATGAAAAATAATTAACTTACAATTACCAATACTTTCAAAAATTTTTCCTGATAAGTCAATACCCAAATTTAAGTTGAATACAGTTATTAAAGAACGAACAGCTGGCTGTAGACAATACCTAACTTGATTAAGTGCATCTGCTAGTCTTTTTTCATTCTTATTCTTGTCAATTTTTAAATTTAGACTTTTTCTGTTTTGCAAATCATTGTCACCATCAAGAATATCTTTTAAATCTATTTCAAGTTCTTCATTAAATTCTTCAAATAGTTCATGAAGCCTTGAAAGAAAATCAAGAAAAAAACAGATGAAAAATCAATAATTTACATATTTTTACGTCGTTTTAGAGGCATTAACATCAATCTTAGCATCTATACCAATGCTAAAAAGATTCAATGATTAAAATCAATGATCTTAAAATTATTTCTACCTCGTTCTTGATTTTTGTTGTTTTTTATTTTCAGAACTGAATTGCGTGACCTTTGTTACACTTAGTTCATCGATTTCATATACCACTGTACCACGGTAACGGTCTTTTTTTAAATGTTTCATAGACAATAACCAGCGACTAAAAAAATCCGCAACACGACCACTACCCTATAAGCAAAAACAATTGTTTACGATGAAAAACACTTATGCATAATTAATTTCACAATCTTACATTAATAATAACAACGGGAATATGATTTCTTAAGTCATAATATATATTTTGTATAGTATCAAAACCGCCTTCAACTACAATCGTGACAGCAGTAGCTAAATATGGATAAAATAAATACTGAATTACATACGATAGTAGAGAAGAATAAAATCTTTAATAAAACAGTTCGATATCGTTATAGACTCTGTTAGTTAATCAGTCGTGTAACGAGTGAGTTCCTTAATTTCAATCGTAGTACTTGTAAATAAATTCTTTGTTAAAATATGAAAATTAATAAATATGATATATAGTAAAAGATAGAAAACAATCAAAATTACTTTACAAATAAAAATACTCGTCTCAAATATTCATGATCAAGTAAGTTAAGGCTTCTTAGAATATGATCGTATTAAACAGATATGTGCACAGCTAATCTATCTTGCAGGATAAAGTAGAATGAAAAAAATGGAAGGGACTACAAAAACAAAAGATCTAGACTTGTCAATCTGCATCATATTATTCATTTGAAATCATTTAAATAAATTATCTGCATACTTTGAGGACTATCTTTCATCTTTAACGTTGTTATATGTTTGCATAAGCGTGTCCGAAAATCTTTGGTATTAAAATTTCGATATATTCCATCGTCTAACATCAAGTAATGAGTATGATTCATTTCAAGATAACATTCACCACTTTTCACTTTATGATCATCGTCATTTTTATCTAAAGTCTCGGATATATATGGATCTTTCTGCGAAAACGAAATACACAAAAATATAAATAATATTGAATATAAAAATTTATTAAAACCTTCTTTATTTTTTGTTTTACCTGTTTTGTTAGAGCTTTCACATCTTTTATACTACCCCATTTACAAATACCAATAGCAATCACTTTATCTGATTGTTTTAATTGAGCTTTCTTAATTGCTCGTCCAACAAGTTGAACAATACCAGTATCGAACCCATTCGTAATCATCCATACTTCTATAAAATAAGTAAATATTAATATTTTCTTTAATTCATGATATATATATATATATGCATACTTGATTTAATACAAATATTAATAATACTATTAAGAAACTTTAATTCAAGTCGATCTGTTAATGAAAAATTTTTCGTACCACCAATAATTGACATAATCAATGTGGGTTTAGGAATTTTCCAAAATTTAAAAAGAAGATTTTCAATTGTGTCTAACTTAGTTTCTATATCAAGACGAACAAACTAAATGAACATAAACTAAAAATTAATAAACAAATGAATCTTATAGATTATGTTATACTAAAGCATTATTTTCGAGTCGACCATAATAAACAGTATTTCTAATTTGTTTCGTATGAGTCGTTATGTCCCATTTTCTTTCCTTGCCTTCTTTGATATGATTTTTGTATTTTTTTCGATTACATACACAAGTTTCTTCATCATAACTATTATAAATAAAAAAAATAGATATTGAATATCATAAAAACATTATAACAAAAGTAAACAAACTCTTTCGGAAAAAATTTGCAACAGACTCGATAGTAAATCGGTAGATTTTCCAAATTTTCAACTGGAATTTCTTGTTGACGCTAAAAATAAACAAATAAATATAATTGAATTTACTCAATAAAAAGTTATCTATACGTCATATTGAGTAAAATGAGCTGAGAATGCCATTCGCTTTAAATCTAATGATTAAATCTTTATATTTTCAGTTGCAGTAAAAGATAATAAATTGGTCTATTTCGATGAGTTTCTTTTTCAGTGTTTATGTTTGCAAGTTAAATAATAACCATCCACATCCACACATTAAGTAGTTATTACCTTGGAAGCGAAAAAGCAGAAAGAAGAAATCAAATAGAAACCGAAAAAAATCATGATCACTAATGTTTATTCTTGTACTGGTATTCTTTCGTGTCAATATTCCTTTTTCTCTGAAAGACCTCTCAGATGAAAATTTATTCAGCAAAAAGAAAAAAATTTATTACTAAAAGATAAAAAGGATGGTAAAAATATTTGACACTATAGTGATCTACAAACATTAATACAATTATTTTTCAAATTTATAATTTATTTCAAATATAATTAACATAAGTATGCTTTCTAAAAATATCAAAAATGAATTAAAGTAAAATCTTATTTCTTTTTAAATTTAAAATTCATAAATATTTTAAGTTATTCTTTCATATTTTCATTTTTAATTCATATAAAAGACAAGAAGTAAAAGTTATAAATTTCTACAATAATTATTATTAATAATAACTTTTCTTTTGTTGATAGAATAATGAACAATTATGTTAAAAAAAAAATTAGAAATTAATTTTTCTCTTGACGCTAAGGTATTTTCTAATAATAAAATTTCTGGTACTATCAAAATTATCTCTTACCAAACTCGTATACTCATTCATAAGCTTATCGTAAGTATTCCTTTTAAGAAAAACAAAAAGCTATTCGAGTAATCCATGTTGGATTAAAATGTGACATAAGATTTAGTTACTGTTGTCAATTACAAAAAGATTTTTTTCAATTGTATTGATTTTCTTACATATACATTTCTCGTTTATTCTTTTACTTATTTAGTTCTTCAGGTTGTTAATTGATGGAAATGACATATTTTATTATTATTTTTCTTTATAGTTAGTTGCTGATGGTTATTATTCAAAAGAACTTGATAGTAAATATCAATATATATCGGCATATTGTTTTGATCCATCAAAAAAAAAAAAAACATCGGTTCTCATTGAAGCTAAACCCATAGATTTAGGATTTGACGTTAAACGTAGTAATAGTCAAGTATGATATATCTTTCATTGAAAAGAATATTTTATTTTTTAAATTTATAAGCAATTACTAGTCGTTTACAATTCGACAGACACATCTTTTTGTAACACCAACTGTAAAAATTAAATGATTATATTCAGATTTAGATGCAAAACCTAATCTTATTATTACATGGTATTATCTTGGTGATCGAATGACTCAAAAATATGTTCTCGTTTTATATAGATAATAAAGAAGTATATTTTGCATGTTCAGTGATTAAAAAAGAAAAAAGAAAAGCATTTTTCTATTCGTGTATCATATAGATATGTGATACTTCAATAGATGACATATATGAAGCAGAGTTGTAACCGGTCTAAAATTTGTCAACCGGTCCGGTCCGGCCGGTGACCGACCGGTCTAAAAAGTAATTCCAGACCGGTAAAAAACCGGCGAGTTTATGAAGTTTGTTCATAAGATAAAAGTAATATTAGGATCGGACTTTCCTTCTAGATATGCTTATAGATTTTTACCAAGAAGAAAACAGCTAATTTTTAAAAAATTTTTATCCACTTTAAAGAAAAATCATCAATGTAACAAGAAACTCAAAATATCACTCATTCGAAAAGGCCTAATCTTGAGCGTTTTGTGCCTTGTTTTCTTAAGTGTTTATAGTTTGAAGGTATAAGTAGAAGTTAATTTTAATAAAAAAGATGTTTCGCACATTTAGAGAATGGAGTTTTATTTACTTAACCTTTACCAATAACATAACGCTTCTCTCTCGATGATGGCTCGTACCTAAATTTTATCTTCACAAAAAGTGTATGAGATAAGTTTAACTTAACCCTTTCGTTACATAATTTTTTTTTCTGCATTGAAATCGAGTA